AGTGGTGTTATCCAAGAAAGTGCGTGCGGTCTGCTACTGTTATTCTTTATGTCAGTGACATTGATATGATCATTAGACGTGACAGCGAAAGCATCTGCGTACAATGGTCCACCGAATGCTCTCCGAATCAAATATTCTCGTGTCTTCAACTTATTTGAGAAGTTAGAGTACTAGATGGCACAAGCCAGATAAGTTGTTTCTAATCTATTCATCAAGATCCATACAATCTCGGCCACAGTCCAACTACTAAAGGCCCTACACGTCCCACCCACTATATTGTAGCGTATGAGGAAAACCGACAGAGCGCTCTCAAAAATCGCATAGGGCTGGTTTTCCGGACGTGTAGCAGGCAAATCTCCACCAAAACTATCAGTAGCAGTGGTAGTAATTACAATCGGATTCCGTTTGCCTACAAGGTTTAAAGTATGACTAAAAGATGCCGTACAACGTGCATCATCCAAAGACCTATTCCAAGTTACGATATGGAAGCAAATGTTGGTAGCTCAGGTTGTTCAGTTGGTGGACTGAGTGTTCGCTGAGCTCGGCAGGTTGACTGCAAACGTTTCGTCACCACTCGAGGTGACATCATCAGTGCGCGTGTACTTAGCAGAGTGGCGCGTACGAAGTGTCCGTGAGTCTGAGTGATCGATCTCCTAGCCGCTAGTCTGAGTTTGGATTGTTCGACAAGCACATGACCATCGAAATCGGTCTCTGATTCTCACCTCGTAGTGTACGCGCGCGTGAATCTTCGGTTGTCGTCGTTTGATGCATTAGTCTGTTAGATTTATTCTACTAATTCGGTGATTTTTCATCCGTAACGCTGGATACATGGCATCTATTTCAACGTGTCGATTTGCAGAATTGTCCGGAGAATACCATGGTTCCAAGAATTCTCTAGCTTGTCTCGAATTTCCACGGGCTAAGATCTTAACGTTCTCTAGATCGAAATGATGGCCTTCTTGGTCTTCATGCATGGAAACCAGTGAATGTGGATCGTGTCTCCGTATGGCCCATCTGTGTTCGTTGATCCGTGTTGACAGTTTCCATCCAGTTTGCCCGACGTAGTGTTTGTCACATTCTTTGCAGTTAATTTTGTAGATGACATCATTCTGACTGCCTTGTTTAACTTGTCCTTCGGTCTTGAAAGCAATCTTCGCAAAGTACCAGTTGGTTTGTGGGCTACCAAGATTCTACGTGATCGTAACAATCTTGACGTTAGTTCAGATACATTCTTGATGTAAGGAAGCGCTACGCGTGTATCTATGTTTTCCTTCTGTTGTTGCTGCACCCTCTTCTTTAGGCTTCTTCTGATGAACTTTCTTGGATACCCGTTGTTTTGCAATACCCGGTATAGATGGTTCTCTTCCTTTTTCTTCCATTCTGTCGTGTTGCCCTGTTGCAGCCCTGTTGCCCCCTAACAGAGATTGTAGTCTGGCTACGCCGTAGTGCAGGATAAAAATGCCTGCTTTATTATTCTTACTCATGCAAATTATGGAACATTCTCTCAGTCACAGTTAGGTCATGTGATCAAGTGGAAGCATTTCGTAATAAGCTAGAAAGTTACCTCAATCTGGGTAGCTAATGAAAGAGACTTAAGTATTATCGCTCAAGAAATTCTAGGAAATTCGCTCCAGTGATCAAGAGTAGTATGGGTACGGGATTGGGACTCGCAGCTTCTGAGGCCAACTCTTGGTACCATTGAGCGACAGCTAGTACCCCTGTTGATCAACTTGTATATTCCTCCCTAAGCTGAGTGTTCATGGTCAGAACAATACTTTTATCTTTTGGAGCAGCTCGAGAGATAATGCACAATTTGCAAACTGTATCTTCTTTCAATCGAAATGTGCTCAGAATACTGTCTATTTCGTGGGGTCGCATTCTCTCACACTTCATACTGACAAAGCGTGATCATTCATGTAAATCATCGCTGGCCGCAGCGCCTTACAAGCGGCACCGATGCCACGAGTAGGAACTAGCAACTCAACATTCCCGTTTGGACTATAAAAATTCTTTTTACTCTCTACTAATCTGTTCACACTTGAATACACTACAAGTACATGTGGTGAATGTACCAAATCTCGTGACCGTCAAGAAACTATCGGACATTCATCTGGATGATAAATGCTGAAAAACAGTACGACAAGGTGCCATATATGGACAACTGATAATTCTGGCTTTACGCAGAAACAGTTTGATACGCTTTTGGCATTTATCATCGTCTGGGTCTTCGAAAGTCACTGCTTTTTATCTCATGACACGCATTATTGAACTGAGGTACTCTAATGGTGACCTTGTTCGCTTGGAAGAATTCACTCGGTGAGCAGGTTCAAGAAAGGGTGATTGACGTCAAGGTGGTGGAAGCAGAGAAAATTCGCAAAAACGACAGCGACCAAGGGTGTTTGGGGTGTACTGATAGGAAATACAAACTTCAGACTGCTCACATGATAGTAACTTCTTCCACCGCTAAAGAGCTACTTTCTTAGTGCAACGTGAACAAGGATTGATTGAACAATGATCTCACGCATAGACTGTTCAGTATAACACAACCCTTTAAGCTATGTACCATGTCAAAATCTTCCGCTGGCAACATCAATCACACATCCAAGTAGTATTCACGCAAGAGCATGATACCGCTCGTCAAAAAGGATGTGTGCCAACTACCATACAGTTTCATCCACGGTGTGAAACCTACTTGCTAGTTTAATTACGCGGGAGTTCTGACAGATATCTCTGGCCCGAAGGGAAAAAGGCAATCCAGACTTATCAAATTACACATTTATTCAACATATTCTCACTGAGGCAGACACATTTGTACAGCCTAATTTTGATTTTGCTAGGATGTACAAATAACAACTTTTTGGTTGAGCGTCAAACCAACTGTTAGTAACATGTTGGATTTCCAAAAGCTCCTCAGTACTTTCCTTCAGCAGGCTGTTTCATGTCCGGAAACAGATGATGGTTTGGACAGGCTAGGTCTGGTGAATAAGTGGGGTGGCGGAAAACCCAGGATATTTAGGTTAGCAGCCATGACCTTGGACGTATACGCCCACGCGTAGATCGGCAAAACAAGGTTACCTTTGGTAAAGTTTCCGTGTCAATTTTTTGTCACTGCCTCTTTCAGTTAGTTCAGCATGTTAGCTTAACATGCAATACCGGAGCTATGAGGTAGGTAGCCCACAGGTAGAATACTGCCTTTTCCCCCAAAAAGCCGACACTTCGATTTCCCACATCGTCTGTTATAGGACATTGCGTCCCTATTCGCAAGCATTTCCACTATTCCCATACGCAGTCTCACACATGCGTACTTTGAACATCTGCTTTATTAAGCAACTAAAGTTTTTACTTCACACCATTAGCGTATCCTTGACTCATCAAACTCAAAACATTTGAACCCCGATAGACTACCGATTTGCGACCTGCTACGCTGTCACGTTTCTCTATGCTGCTGCATGTCTTCCTGTGTCTGCTTTTTTCATTGCTATTGCAAACTTATTTGTAAGTTGACTACTTTTTTAGTTCGTAGTATAGGGCCACGGTAACTGGAATTTACCTTCCGTTTCTTCTACCCACACATGTACAAAGTTTCGGTTTTGTTAGCGCACAGTTTTTCGTTTCTGTCTCGTGTGACTTACTTTGTCTATAGACTTCATTTCGTCGTTACAGATGACATGATCATTTCGGATGAGTTCTGGGATCCATCATTCTTTCGACTGCTCCTTGGTTTCAGGATCGTACATATGGAACCACGTATCGTCCTCAGTTACTAAGCTGGCCAAAAAGTCTTGTGTATTTATAAAATGAGCCGCAATGACTTTGAATATTTTAATATGTTCCTTCTTCTGGTCTCCGTGAAAACATTTCGGTACCTAGGTCCTTGGAAGCTTACACACATCTAGCCCAGTATTGCTAACAAATCCAACACTCTCCTGTGAAATGTTTCGCTTCTGAACTATCTTGTCTGAGATCTTTCAATGGACCCCCTAATCAGCTCGTGAGCAGCGACACCGGTTACCGGGTCAGTTGACGTTGGTGACCGTCCTATTACCTGGCTCCTCTTGGGTCGTGAACTACCTAGTCTTGAAACGAAATACCCCGGTTTTGATAGTGTTGTAGAGAAGACACTTCTTCCGGATTGTTTTCGACACATCAACGTGAATTCCGTTTGCCGACGTTTTCTGACGAAACCGAAGTATCACGATTGCTCGTAGCAGTAAAGACGTGAGACTTACTTGTACTCCTGTCATCGCGGCTCCTACTTGAAACGAAAAGCAGTTGTTAGATCGAAAACCCTCTGAAATTCGCACATTCATATACTAATATATGGGGAGGTCCTATCCCGGCACACCCATTTCTTAGTCTAATTAGAAGGAGACAAATCCAGAACGTTATCCACACCTTGTATAGTTGCCCGCACTCTTTTATTTTCCTGTCCAGTTAAGTTAACACGTTACTGCATACTGTTGCCTGTAGGCAACATAACAGAAAATTGTCAACCAACTTACTTTCATGAAGTTGTTCATACTAAGGGTAACTTCCCTTGATAGAACAGATATTTACGACTTTTTGCGATTATATATCGTACGGTTTGACCGCAAAATCATCTTTTGAACGCCCACACAGTGGAATGATTTGGAGAGAAATCAACGGGCTGAGAACAGGACATATTCTTTACTTATTTTACGCTATTAAAGGCTAAATTGTCAAACGTAGAATTATCCTACATTTGAAAAGTCATTATAAATTTTAGCTGCGATATTGAAAACAAAATTATGTGAAGTTATTTAGTATTTTATGCCTGTGGATGCTTTGTAGCCTAAAAGCAACACTATGCCATAAAGGATGGGCTGATTGATCTAGCATAATCTCAGTGCCTGACTGTTGACTTTACTATGTGACATTAATTTATGTGCTCCTTTTTTGTCTTACTTGTATGCTTACTTGATTATCGAAACCTAGTGGCATATTTTCCCACGACATTAAAAATTGTAATTTCTTTACAGAAAAATATGGATTCTGCAAGATTCTATGGCATCAAATCAAGACATACCGACGTTCCTATACAACCATTACTTGATGTCTCTGAGGACACTGAACTATCGTCTTCTGATGATGAAAACATGCCAGAAGCACGCATTCATCCTGGTGAGATTTCCATATTGTTCTTATGGTGTTTAAAAATCTGTTTTCCTAATTTTATTTTTATTTTTTCATAAAATTCAACATAATAAATCACTATGACTGTGACTGTTAAAAATGTATTTTCTATTTTTACATTTTTTTCATTTTTTTAGCTTCGGTATCATATACTTCACTTGCCTATTAAAGTTTTTTTTAATCATTTTTATTTTCAGATCCATCTGCTTCACACACTGACTCCGATGACAATGCGGATCCCGATGAATTGGTTGACCCCTAGGGAACTCAATGCACTTTGCGGAAACCTGGGTGGAGAGAAACAGAGGCCAAGGAACTTCTCCATATGGAGACCCCTTTCAGTGGTGTTGTTCCAACAACAGATACCCCAAGCGAGCAACATGAATATTACAAAAATATCTCTCACACCAGACATGATGCGGCTTCTGGTTTAAGAATGAAATAAGTATTCTATGCAAAAAAAACTCGAGCTTACCGCTCGGCACAACAATCATGGAATAATGTATGGCTATTCTATACGTAGTGAGTGTTGTTCGGATGCATAACACATGTCTGTATTGGAAAGATGAATTTTGCTCTCCCAAGATTACAGACACTATGCCAAAATAGATTTGAAGCAATAAAAAACAACTCGCATTGTAATGACAAGTTGGTATCGAACCCCAGACCATTGGGATGATAGTTGTGACCGGTACCCTTAAACCATCGGGTCCCGAAGGGCAACGCTTGACACAACGGTTTAATGAAAAATATTGAGGGTCATTTTGAAGTGGATGAATTGCTACCCGCAATCGCAGTATTGACCGCGATTCCCCTTGAAGTGAACCTTGGTCTTTCGATCACGAGGACCGTAGCTGATGAACATAGAAATTGGGTATTGCCCGCCCGAAAACACAGCACTACTATGACGCGTTTCAATGTTATTACACCGCATCAGATAGAGTTAGCAAGCATCGGCTACGGTCCTCGTGATCTAAAGACCAAGTTTCACTTCAATGGGAAGCACGGCCAACAATGAGATTACGCGTCGCAATCCATCCGCACAGCGATTACTTTAATACAATCCTCAATTCTATTGAGTTTCACAAAACCTGTAGCTTACAGCGAATAACTAGTGTCAGATCAGAATTTATCTTGCTCGAATTATACAGGAAGGAATGTTATTTTTTGTATCACAAGGTTTGTTACCCTGTGTAATTCATGGCATAATGCTACACGAAATACCTTTATGATTAACCGGTTCGATAAAAAGAGTGTTTATCAAAACAGAAAGAGGACATAAGTGAAGTTGTTTAAACTTTCTTATTGTTCTCTGTAAAAAGATCTATTGCATTACAATTTATTTTCCTAACCCAGGGTCAGCGGAATTTGTGGCTCATCTTTTGTGAGAAACATAATTGTGATCATTCACATTTTACGTACACGTTTTTCTTGCACAATGAACAATGAACAATGATTTATCACGGGATAAAAGCAAGTGCTTGACACGTCCCGTAGGATGGTTGCGGTGAATATGATGAAATCAAAATATATCTGAGTCATCTACCGTACGTCTACCTAGATGATTACTTCGATAAATTACATCAGTGTAAAATTTAAAGAAAATCGAGCGTAAACGTTCAGAAGGACACTGGGGTGCAGTGATCGTTGATGTAAGGCGTGGGAAAGGTAAACTATGCTCACCCGCTTGGGTATATTTGATACACAACTCCAGTTGAAAAGCATGCTTGGCGTAATTCACAATAGAGGAGTTTAGGTAACAAAATGCTGCCAGCTAATAGCAACATCTAATCGTTTTTTGAAAGCATCCAAGGTAGAAGGGGATACAACTGAGTCTGGGAGTGCATTCCAGTGTTGGCAAACCCGAAGGGAAAAGTAATTACGTTGACACTCTAGACGACTATATTGTTCCATCAACTTTAAGCAGTTACCCCTGAGCTGCGTGTTGTGGCTGTTACAGCAAATGGCGGCATAAGTGGTTGGGGTCACTCAACATCAGATACGCTAATATGAGATCGCCGCGCAGCTTTCGATTGCGTTCGCTGAAAATTCCCAGCAAGTTCAGCCTTCGGTGGCAAGAGTGATAGCGCAGGCCCCTATGAATCTCACTTCAAACAAATTTCTGATGCTCTGGCCACCGCAGAGGATAATCAACGGTGCCCTATCTGCTGCATCAAGCAGGCTGGATAGGGGTTTGGATGCTACTGCTCAAGCCTTCCCGTCTTCTTATTCCCCTTCTTACGCTTTTTCACCCTTATCGTCCCGTTCCAGCTTCACGTTTATCCCCCCCTGTTTTCAACCCCCCAATTCTCGGCCCTCCCTCACCTTGCTTCAATAGTCGCTTGTCTTTTAGTTTCAACTCACATGTGAACGCGGAGCGTCATTCCTGCCCTGTCAACAGGCCCATGTCCAAGCAAACGGTCAAGCCCAGTTCATCGGCTTCCATTTGGAGCCCTCGATCCTCCTTCAGATTGGCATGCCTCAATGTTCGCACATTGCTTCAGATCGGTCAACAGGCAGCACTTGCCCGAACATTAGAGACCCTCTCAATCGATATCTGCTACTTAGTGGAGACCCGCCTGCAAGACTCGAGCTCTGTACTCACTCTGCGATCCCCTTCAGATGACACTAGCAGCACTTTCTCATTGCGCCTATCCGGTGACGATGCAGCTTCGAGCACCGGCCAAGCCGGTGTTTGTATTTCCCTGAGTCCCCGGGCTGAAACTGCTCTAGTTGATTGGGTTCCAATCAGTAGCCGGATGTGTGCGCTCCGATTGGCTGGCTCGTTCAAAACTTCGAAGTCGCGTGGGACTAACAGGGGTCTATTCGTTGTCGCTGCCTATGCACCGACAAACTGTAGCGATGACTCGGTAAAAGACGACTTCTATCGCCAGCTGAACGAACTCCTTCGCCACAGAAGAAGCTCGGACACTGTAGTGCTGGCTGGGGATCTGAACGCTCAAGTTGGAAAATTATCCACAGATGAGCTGCATCTGGGCGGCCAACATGGTGTAGGCTCCCGTAATGATAACGGTGAGCGGTTACTTCATTTGTGTGAGGATGCTCGCTTATTTCTTGTGAGCACTACTTTCAGACACAGCACCCGCCGGAGGGTGACTTGGCGCCCACCAGCGTCGAACCAGCATTGCACACAGATCGATCACATTGCCATCAGTTACCGATGGAGAGGCTGCATCCAGAACTGTCGCTCGATTTGGAGCACAGGTGGGGACAGCGACCATGCACTTGTATGTGCTGACATGCGGATGCGCTTTGGCGGACGCCCGCGACGATGTTGTGAACGCATTAACACCGGCAGACTGGTGAAGCCAGCTGTTCTGAACGCCTATCAAAGTACGCTGTCATGCGAGTTGGATAAATGCTCACTGGATGCAATTGAAGCTCACTGGTCTCATATTCACCAGACCTTACTTGCATCAGGAAAATCCTTATGTGGTATGTCTAATCGCCAACATGGACATTGGGTCTCTTCACAGTCTCTGGAACTTATGGATGTTCGCCGGCATATTCCGGCTGGAAGCGAACAGCATGATACTGGTAAAGAACTCCGTAAAAAACTCCGTGCTAATCTGAAGAGAGACCGCGAATCCTGGTGGTCTCATCTCATAGATGGAAATGGCCGCTGCCCTTGGCACCCATCTTAAGTTATTCCGGCTGATACGGGAAACGGGCAGCAGAAGACCTGGTGTTAGTGAAAATATACGTGACGTGAGTGGACAGCCTATCCACAACTTGTCAAAAAGCTTGGAGCGTTCGGCTGAGCACTATGAAAGGCTCTTTAATCTGTCGGAATTGTTAGATTTCACGCCGGACACTGAGCGCCCCGCTCCCTGAGCTGTCCATTTGGATCCACCCTCTCGCTCAGAAGTGGAACGTGAGATCGGACTGTTGAAGTTGAACAAAACCGCGGGACCTGATGATCTTCCTCCAGCCCTCTTCAAATTCGGGGGACCTGCTCTTGTGGATAATTTACACGAATTACTAGTTAAACTGTGGGAGCAGGAAATTGTCCCAACCGACTGGAGCCGTTCCGTTATAGTCCAAATTTTCAAGGGAGGCTCGCGCTCGGAATGCGGCAACCATAGAGGAATCAGTCTTATCTCCATCGCCTCCAAGTGGCTTGCCTCTGTCATCCTTCACAGACTGACTGGCACTTGTGAAAGCTACATTCGTGAAGAACAAGCCGTGGTTCGTCGAGGTCGTATCTGCATTGACCACATCTTCACTTTGCGTCAGTTGGTGGAGCACCGTCACATATTTTGACGGCCCACCGTTGTCGTGTTCCTCGATACCAAAGGTGCATTCGATTCGGTGGATAGACTTGCACTTTGGGAGTGTCTACTCAGGAAAGGTGTACCTGAGAAATATGTAAACATTATCCGAGTATTATATGCGCGTAGCTCAGGCAGAGTGAGGGCTTACGGCAAGTTGTCGTCGCCCTTTAATATCTCCAGCGGTGCGAGACAAGAATGACCGCTGTCACCTTTCCTCTTCAACTTCGCTGTTGACGAAGTCATGTAAATCGTGTTCACAGGACACGACATAGAAGGTGTGGATCTGCTCCCAGGAGGACGCCTTCTTGAGTTAGAGTATACTGATGATATCGTCCTAATTCGTAACAACTCCCAGACGTGCCAAGCGGCACTGGACAGATTAGCATTAGCTGTCCGTCACTTCGGGCTTTGCTTCGCACCCTCAAAGTGCAAAGCGTTCCTCCAAGATTGGTCTGGACCGCCTCCTTCGCTGACCCTTGGTGGGGATCAGCTAGAAGTCGTTCAAAAATGCAACTACCTGGGAAGTTGTATCAGCGCCCGTAGGATTGAGGATGAGATCACGAATCGTATAGCAAAAGCTCGGGGCGCTTTTGCTAACCTTCGCCACTTATGGCGCCGGCGCGACATCACTCTCGCCCTGAAGGATAGAGTGTACAATGCAGCGGTACGTTCGACCCTACTGTACGATTGTGAAACCTGGCCCCTTAAAGCAACGGACCTGAAGAGGCTAGTTACGTTCGACCACCGGTGCCTTCGCAATTTAGCTCACATCTGGTGGTTACACCGCCTGAACAACGAGCGTGTTCGACGCCTTGTTTACGGTACAGGAAAAGGAAATGAACCGCTCAGCACCGTTATTTCTCGCACCAGGCTCCGATGGTTGGGCCACGTGTTACGCATGCCAGCCCACCGACTCCCGCGACGTGTGTTGTTTGCGTGGCGGGGGTGTGGATGGAAGAAGAGGAGG